TGCACTCCAGCCTGAGCAAGAGAGCAAGCAAAAAAAAAAAAAAAAAAGAAAAAAAAAAACATTTCTTACAAGGCAGTCCTACTAGTGACAGATTTTCTCAAGTTTCTTTCTCTGAGAAAGTCTTTATTTTTCTTTCACTTAAAAAATTTTTGTTTTATTGGCCGGGCATGGTGGCTAACGCCTGTAATCCCAGCACTTTGGGAGGTTGAGGCGGGTGAATCATGAGGTCAGGAGATCGAGACCATCCTGGCTAACACGGTAAAAGCCCCGTCTCTACTAAAATTACAAAAAATAAGCTGGGCATGGTGGCAGGCGCCTGTAGTCCCAGCTACTCGGGAGGCTGAGGCAGGAGAATGTCGTGAACCTGGGAGGTAGGGCTTGCAATGAGCCAAGATTGTGCCACTGCACTCCCACCTGGGCAACAGAGCAAGACTCCGTCTCAAAAAAATAAAAAAATTAAAAAATTATTTTATTTTATTTATTATTGTAGAGATGAGGTCTAGCTGTGTTTCTCAGGCTGCTCCAGAACTCCTGGGCTTAAGCAGTCCTCCCTCTTGGTCTTCCAAAGTGCTGAGATTATAGGCGTGAGCTATGATGCCCAGTCCTGTTTTACTTTTGAATGATAATTTCATAGGGTGCAGGGGTTTAGATTGCCAGTTTTTTTTTCTCAACACAAGACATTTCACTCCAGTCTCCTCTTGCTTGCCTGGTTTCTAAGAAGTCAGATGAAATTCTTATCTTTGCTCCTCTATCGGCAAAGTGTTTTCTTTCAGGGTTTTTTTTTTCCTTTTTTTTAGTATGTAGAGATGGGGTTTTGCCATGTTGCCCAGACTGGTCTCGAACTGCTGGGCTCAAGCAATCTGCCCGCCTCAGCCTCCCAAAGTGCTGGGATTACAGGTGTGAGTCACCATAGCTGAACCAGAATTTTTCTTTGTCTTGGATTTTCTGTGGTTTGAATATGATAGGTGTAAATCTAGAGGTTTTTGTGGCATTTTCTCTGCTTGGTATGCTCTGAGCTTCTTAGATCTTTGGTTTGGTATTTGACATTAAATTAGGGAAACTCTCATTCATTATATTTCAGATAGTTCTTCCTTTTTTTCTCTCTTTCCTCTCCTTCTTGTATTTCCATTAATGCATAAAGTTACACCTTTTGTAGCTGTCCCACAATCCTTGGACATTCTGTGCTGACTTTTTCAGTCTTTGTTCTCTTTGTTTTTTAGTTTTGGAAGTTCCTATTAATATATCCTCTTCTGAGATAACTGTTGTGGAAGGAAAAAAAAAGAAAAATAAATAATATATCCTCAAGCTCAAGAAATTTTCATCTCTCTGCTTGCATTGCCCATCTGTTCCTGCATGCTATTTTATCCATTAGAGGCCTTAGCTTATTACTCATAGTTCTTTAAAATTTCAACATCCCTGCCATATCTAAGGCTGGTTTTTATGCTTGCTTTGTCTCTTCAACTATGTTTTTTGCCTCTTTTCGTACCTTGTAATTTTTTCTTAATTGCCAAACAAGATGTACTATGTAAAAGGAACTGTGTCAGCCTGAGCTTCTAGACTGTGAACTTCACAAATGCACCTCAGTTTTTCCTCCTCTTAGGTGGTACGGGGTGGCTAGAGTGGGCTGGAATTGGGTTTTTCTCTTGCCCCAGGTCAGCTAGCCTCTGATAAAACCCTAGCATGTTAGCTTCTGGTTAAATACTTTTTCCTAAGGTCAGGCCTTGCTAAGAAGAACAGAATGCTCCATTTTAATTCAAAATTGTTAGTTTTCTCTTCCCCTTGCAGGAAACAAGAGGGTGTATTTCTGCAGTATTCACTAAAACAGATTAAGCCCCTGGAAGTAAAACTCACAAAAGTATGCTTTTCAAAAAACCCTCATAACTGGGTCCCATTGAGTAAATGCTTAATGGTCAGACTTGCCGGCACCTACCACATAAATTACAGTTCCGTTTTTCCTACCCCAGCACTGGTTCCTAGAGGTTTTTGCTCACATGTTTCTGCTCCAGTAAATTGTGATTCTACATATTTGCCTTTCATTCTTTCTAATTTTGTGGACAGTTTGCCTTGGCCCTCAATTCTCTTAGAGATCTAAGAAGTGTCGTTGATTTTTTAAGTATGTTCAGTTTTTTACCTGGTGTTAGGATGGAGTAGCATCTTCCAAGCTTCTTATATCCCAGACTGTAAACTGAAAGTCTATGTATTTGATTTTAGTACTTAATTTAAAATTTATAATCTATATGTAAAGCCTAGTTAAAACACTACTTCCACTATTATTTTAAGATATTTAAGAGGTAAAAATAAAAATTATTTTATGTCCTTACCTTTTATAGTATGTGAGGTTTTATAAAACTCAGTTTTGCTCTTAAGTGTTGAAGTTGATATTTTGATTTTTTACTGTTCCAAATATATTTTTTCTTATGACAAAAGACACGTTAAAAATGTTTTGCTGCCAGGCACAGTGGCTCACACCTGCAATCCCAGCACTTTGGGCAGCCAAACTGGAAGGATTGGGAGTCTAGGAGTTCAAGACAAGCCTGGGCAACATAGACGAGGATTGAGTCTAGGAGTTGACAACAAGCCTGGGCAACATAGTGAGACCCCCATCTCTACAAAAAATACAAAAATTAGCCAGGTGTGGTGGCATGCCCCTGTAGTCCCAGCTACTCGGGAGTCTGAAGTGGGAAGATCACTTGAGCCCAGGAGGTTGAGGCTGCAGTGAGCCATGATCACGCTACTGCACTCAGCCTGGATAGCTATAAGCTACCACGCCCGACCTTATTCTTTCTTTCTTTCTTTTTTTTTTTTCTTTTTTGAGACAGAGTCTTGCTCTGTTGCCCAGGCTAGAACGCAGCAGTCATGTGATCTCGGCTTCACCTCCCAGGTTCAAGCAACCCTCATGCCTCAGGCTCCCGAGTATCTGGGACTACAGGCTCGAGCCACCACGCCTGGCTAATTTTTGTATTTTTAGTAGAGATGAGGTTTTACCATCTTGGCCAGGCTGGTCTTGAACTCCTGACCTCAGGTGATCCATCAGCCTCAGCCTCCCAAAGTGCTGGGATTACATACAGGCATAAGCCACCATGCCTGGCCAAAAAAGGGTTATCTCTTAGAAATAAATAATAAGGGCTGGGCGTGGTGGCTCATGCCTGTAATCCCAGCACTTTGGGAGGCCAAGGCAGGTGGATCACCTGAGGTCAGGAGTTTGAGACCAATCTGGCCAACATGGTGAAACCCCATTACAGGCGGATTTCTTTTTTTTAAGAAACATAACTACACTATCTATTACATCTATAAAAACTTAAATGTCAATATCAAATATCCAGTTGGTATTCAGATTTTTCAGTTGTTTTTTAAATGTTGAGTGCCTTTTTTCTCCATTCAGCTTATTGAAGAAACTGGATCCATACAGTCTCCCATAGTCTCAATTTTTCTGACTAAATCCTTGTGGGATTATTTAACTTGTTCTTTGTATTTTATGTAAATTGAAAATTATATCTAGAGGTTTGATTGGATTTAGGTTTTTTGATTGGCTGTTTGTTTTCATGTGACTACTTTTACAGGTGGTTTTGTGTTCTTTTGATAGGAGGCATTTATTTATTTATTTATTTATTTATTTATTTATTAATTATGAGATGAGGTCTTGCTCTGTTGCCCAGGCTGGAGTCCGGTGGCATGATTTCAGCTCACTGCATCCTCCACCTCCCAGGCTTAAGAAGTTTTCCCACCTCAGCCTCTTGAGTAACTGGGACTACAGATGCAAACCACTAAACCCGGCTAATTTTGTTTATTTTTTGTGGAGATAAGATCTCAAACTCCTGGACTCACGATCCCAGCTACTTGGGAAGCTGAGGCTGGTCACAAACTCTTGGGCTCAAGTGGTCTTCCCACCTTGGCCTCCCAATGTACTGGGATTACAGGTGTGAGCCACTGTATCTCTGATCTATTTATTTTTTAACATTAGCTGCCATTGATTATCAATGCTTAGATCCATTGATTCAATAAGATTTCAAAATGGCTCTCACTCTGTCATTTATTCTTCCTAAGTATCATTGTAAACTCATGGATTTTAACATTTGGCTTTAGTTTGTTACCGTTATTATTCTTACTGGTCTACAAATTTCCCTATTTTGGACCAGTGAAAAAGCTTGTTCAAATTGACTCCTTAGTCCTTTTGACACGTCCTCATTACAATGGATTTTTAAAAAAATATTTGCTTGTCAGTTTAATCAGATATATAAAATACAGTGCTATGAGGCTGAGTGTGGTGACTCATGTCTGTAATCCCAGCACTTTGGGAAGCCAAGGTGGGCAGATCACTGGAGGTCAGGAGTTCGAGACCAGCCTGGCCAACATGGTGAAACCCCGTCTCTACTAAAAATACAAAAATGGCCGGGTGCCCTGGTTCACACCTGTAATCCCAGCACTTTGAGAGGCCAAGGTGAGTGGATCATCTGAGGTCAGGAGTTCAAGACCAGCCTGGCCAACATGGCAAAACCTCGTCTCTATTAAAAATACAAAAATTCGTTGGGCATGTTGGTGGGTGTCTGTAATCCCAGCTACTCGGGAGGCTGAGGCAGGAGAATTGCTTGAGCCTGGGAGGCGGAGGTTGCAGTGAGCTGCGATCACGCCATTGCACTCCAGCCTGGGCAATAGAGCAAGAGTCCATCTCAAAAAAAAAAATACAAAAATTAGCCAGGTGTGGTTGTGTGTGCCTGTAATCCCTGCTGCTCGGGAGGCTGAGGCGAGAATTGCTTGAACTGGGAGGCAGAGGTTGCAGTGAGCCAAGACTGTGCCACTGCACTCCAGCCTGGGTGACAGAGTGAGACTCTATCTCAGAAAAAAAAAAAAATGCTATGCTATATATATGTATGTATGTATATATGTATGTGTTGAAACACTAAAATCTATTGCTAAAATATCTTACTAAAAAATTGGAAATTTAATGTCTAACCAATATACCTAAATGCCTCTGTTTATTCTAAAATATTCTTTTTTTGCAGACCCGATTATCAAAAATTCTCATGATTAAAAAGGAACATATCAAGAAATTAAGGGAAATGAACACAGACGCAGAAAAACTGGTAAGAATTTGTTTCTCTTTTTTTTCCTTCATTTGCTTGTCTAATTTTAAAATGGTGAGACCATCTATATCTATTGATTTAAAAATATCTATGGGAGGAAACATTCAGATAAATATTATTTTTAAATCCTCATTTGCATGAGGTTGTTCACACCTGTAGTCCACCTTCTTGGGAGGCTGAAGCAAAGGGATTGCTTGAGTCTAGAGTCAGAGACTGCAGTGAGCTATGATTCTACCCCTACACTCTAGCCTGGGTGATAACAAGACCCTATCTCAGTAAATGAATGAATACAGGAATAAATAAATACATACATACATACATACATACATAAAAAAGTAAATATTCATTGCTATCACTATCTCTTGTTATACTGAACATATGCTAAGTAAACTGGCAATGCATTGCCCCAGACCTCATTATGCCATTGACTGTACAGTCGAATAGGATTAATGAGTATATTAGGTTCTTTGAACAGTTTACATGAGTCTGGAATTGCTCAGACAGATACCTGTGACCAAGGAAGTTGTAATGACAGGTTATAAAAAATGTTTCAGAATAAGTAAGTCAGGAAATATCTGTGTTGTCATCTTTAGGTTATCTTGACAACATTTATATCCTATTAATCTAATGAGTTCAAAAAATGAGAGCCAATTTTATTTATAAGATAATTACCAGAAGTCTTTTTTTTTTTCTGAGATGGAGTTTTGCTCTTGTCTCCCAGGCTGGAATACAGTGGCACAATCTCGGCTCACTGCAGCCTCCGTCACCTGGGTTCAAGTGATTCTCCTGCCTCAGCCTCCCAAGTAGCTAGGATTACAGGCACACACCATCACAACCAGCTAATTTTTGTATTTTTAGTAGAGACAGAGTTTTGCCATGTTGGCCAGGCTGGTCTCGAACTCCTGACCTCAGGTGGTCCACCCACCTCGGCCTCCCAAGTGCTGGGATTACAGGTGTGAGCCACAGCGCCCAGCCAGCCACAGCACCCGGCCCAGAGTTTTTTTAAAAAGCTGTTTATGTAGACACTATTCACTAGGAAAGTCTTTGAATTGTAATGAAATTCACATCTTGCTTAAGGGTATGTAGGATGGCAAATAGGTTTTATCTCATGTACCATTTCCAGTTTATTGAAAATGACTGTATAGAAGTCTGAAAGGGAGGGCTCAGTGACTGTGCTCAGGGGGCAAAGTGCTGTGACTAATTATCAGTGTCTGTTGTAAGTGCAAGAATGGGAGTAGTAGCACTGGGAATCTCTGGAATGAAATGTTGTAAGGGTATAGGTGTGGATACAGTTAGGTATCTACAGCTGCAAAAGTAGATACCTAAGTGAATAAGGAACAGTTCTCTTTTAGGATTATAGAATTTTTTTATTTGAAAAGTACTGAATTTTTAAGACCACAAATGTCGGGTGATTTCAGCGTAAGATCATCTGCTCTCTTTAGCAGTACAGATATTAAAACTTGGGCTTATTTCCGAGTTTAACTCGTTTAAGCATAATATGAAATTAGTATTGTCAGATACACAAGTCATCCAGAAGTGAAAAAGATTAGCTATAGCATATTGCCATTACATATCTTAAACATAGAAATGTATGTGCATGCTTCTTTACTACTGGACTCATTCTTATCTTGGTTTCCATCAGTTCTACTTCTGCCCTTTATATTCTATGCCTTTTCAGTGCTCCTCCACCCCACTTCTATTTTTCTCTGGTCGCTTTATCATCTTTTCTATCTTTATGTATAAATGAAGTATTTCCCTTTAATATCACTAGTTAGGACTGTTTTCTTCTAAGTTCCATGCTTTAAAGCACTGGGCTTGCCTTTGTCCAGTTAATCTTATCTACTTTCAAATAGAGACCTATTTCGGGTTGTTTTGCAAACCAAGAAGATGCAGCCTTCAGTGTAAAATGAATTTGTATTCACAGAGACCGTTTTGATGTTGGCTTGACTTCTTAGCATATGAGAACTCTGTAGAAGTAATCTAATTGGCTTGATATGTTTTATTATTTGTTTTATTTATGTAAAAATAGTTTCCATATAAAAATTCAAATATTATGAAATGATTTAATCAAACTGTATATTCTTTATAATGCCTTCTCCATAAATAGTATTAAGTTAGCATATGTTATAAATATGTTTGTTTATGTGTTTACCATATGGATTTCTTTTTCTGTGCATATACTAAAAATTATTTTCATGCAGAATGGGATTAAATTATGATATATATGACTGTATTGTGCCATAGTTTAAACAACTTCCTATTAACAGATATTTGAGTTATTTCCATCACTTTATTAATATAGTGTGAATATTTTTGTGCATTTGTTTGTGTCTATCTGTAGGATAAATTTTAGAAAGTAAAATGAAAGATTTAATGAAACTTAGTTTAAGAGGTAGGCTGAACATATTTTTTTCATATCCTTTATAATTGCACATAGAATATGAAGTACAAAAAGAAGTAAACAAAAAAAATGAAGCAGTCTGCCTAACAATGTCTATGAGATTTCAAAATTTTTTCTGGCATGTTTTTAGATGAAACAGAAACCATGGCTACAAGAGGCCCTAGATCCAGAGTTGGCAAATATGATGAAGTGCAGAAGTGAGATTAGTATTTTAAAAGGCAATTAATTCAAGGTCTTTCTCCTTGTTCCCCTTCATCTCAGTGACAGAACTCAAACGTGGCATTTACTCAAGTTAAAAGGAGAGAAAGAAGCACTTCTGTAAAGAATTTGAATGTACTATTTGGGGAAAGTTAAGGTTTTTTTCTGCTTTTGGTAAGGGTAGACTAGGTAATTTGGATTAACCTTCCTGCTGTGAATAGCTGTTTCCTCTGGAATAAAATATTAAAATAACCTGCTTGAAGACACTGGAGCATTAACAAGGCATTGAGGAGGCCGGGTCCAGTGGCTCATACCTGTAATCCCAGCACTTTGGGAAGCTGAGGCAAGTGGATCACTTGAGGTCACGAGTTCAAGACAAGCCTGGCCAACACGACAAAACCCTGTCTCTACTGAAAATAAAAAAATTAGCTGGGTGTGATAGCATGCATCCCCAGCTAACTTGGGAGGCTGAGGCAGGAGAGTCGCTTGAACCCAGGAAGCAGAGGTTGCACTGAGTCAAGACCGTGCCACTGTACTGCAGCCCGGGCAGCAGACCAAGACTCTGTCTCAAAAAAAAAAAAAGAAAGAAAGAAAGAGAGAGAGAGAGAGAGAAAATAAACAACAAGGCATTAAGGAATTATAGGATCTGGGAAAAGAAGGAAAGAAGTAAGGGGGAACCTGATGTTCAGGGTTGCTTTTTCCTTGGGGGCTTCTGCAAGTTCCAGAAAAGGTAGCTGAGAAGCTAAGTGGTATTCTTGAAAGGCTTATAGGGGTTGGAGGCCAAAATTAGAGTCCAGAGACCCACCGAGGGTTGGGGGAAGTTGGCAAACTTTTAAGTCCTCTTTGGAGGAATATAGCATTTTTATAGGCCTCAAATTATTTCTATAAATTTGTATATATAGTATCTAACACTCAATTTAAATTCAAGACACAGTAGGAGACACAGTAATCCTAAGGAAAAAAGAAAATAAACTGTAGACAATAGGCAGACTCCAGACAATGGAGTTTTTAGAAATATATTTTAAATGCTTAATTTGTTAAAAGAGATGAGACAAAATTGAGAATTTTAGAAGAGAACTGGAAACAACAATAAAAAAGACCAAATGAAAACTATAAACTCTAGCAATCAGAATTAACCCAGTTGGTGGATACAACCACAGCAGGTTAGAAACAACTAAAGAGAGAGCTAATAATTTAAAATAGATCAGAAGAAAATATCCCGAATGAAACATGAAGATAAAAATGAGTGGAAAATATAGAAGAGAAGAGACGATAAATAGGGGATACAGTGAGGAAGGTCTAATGTGTAATGAAATAGCAGAAGGAAAAAGAAAGAATGGAACAAAAGCAGTATTTTAAAAGATAATGACTAAAGGCATTACAAAACTGTCAAAAAACAACAAACCACAGATAGATTCCTATCAACCCCAATGAGATAAATAAAAAGATAATGACTTTTAGACACATTATCTTTTTTTTTTTTTTGGAGACAGAGCCTCACTCTGTCGCCCAGGCTGCAGTGCAGTGGCGCGATCTCGGCTCACTACAAGCTCCGCCTCCTGGGTTCACACCATTCTCCTGCCTCAGCCTCCCGAGTAGCTGGGACTACAGGCGCCCGTCACCTCCCCCGGCTAATTTTTTGTTTGTTTTTTGTTTTGTTTTGTTTTGTTTTGTTTTAGTAGAAACGGGGTTTCACCGTATTGGCCAGGATGGTCTCAATCGTCTGACCTCGTGATCCGCCCTCCTCAGCTCCCAAAGTGCTGGGATTACAGGTGTGAGCCACCACACCCGGCCTAGACACATTACCTTTTTTTTTT